TATTACTGGTAAATATAAACAATATAACAAATAATTTAAATATATTGCTAACTCAATGTATTTACATTTTAGGAATCCTTATGCCGCTAAAGTTTCAACTTAGAAAGTATTTAGAATCGCCGCTCGTTTTCGAGACAATTCTTGAAAATCTCACACCGTCACAAGATGGTTATATTCGCAGTCTTATTGATGGTACCATATGGCAGCAGAGGAGAGCCAACATTTATTCTAAAATCGTCATACCGCTTAACTTGTTCTTCGATGATTTCACCACTACGGACACAGTTTCTCCACATGCGGCTCGTACGTCTATATTAGGTATATATTACTACATTCCTTGTCTGCCAGGTTTTATTCTGGCCAAATTAGCTAACATCTTAGTGGCAGGATTTATTTTATCGGTAGACAGAAAAGAATACGAAAATGAAGATTTATTCAGTAACCTAGTAGAACTGTTAATCGATTTAGAAGTGAATGGCCTAAAAATAACTCACAATAGCGCAATTATCACTGTTCATTTCATGATAGGATTTATAACGGGCGATAATCTAGGTATCTCAGGAATTCTGGATTTGGTTGAATCGGCTAGAGCAAATTTTTATTGCAGAATGTGCAAACGTAACCGTGAACAACGTGAAAAGGATAGTACAGAATACGAACAAAGTTTCAGGACGATTGACGGTTACGAACGTGATTTGCAACAAAATGATGTTTCAAACACTGGTATTCATAAGAACAGTGTTTTCAATCAGATTCCATCATACCACGTTGTTTTAAATGTTTATTTTGACTTAATGCACGACCTATGGGAAGGCGTTTGCGTATACGGGCTGGCTCATTGCTTAAACTATTTCATCAAAGTGAAAACATTTTTTACTCTTGATGAACTTAACTGTAGGAAGAACGTTTTCGTTTTCGGAAGTTTGAACTCATCGAACATACCAAATGACATCAAAGACACGAACATACTTAAAAGTAAAGTAAAAATGACTGCCAGTGAAATCAAAACAATAATAACATTTTTTCCACTAATAATTGGTATGTTGATCCCGAAAGATGATGCTGTTTGGTTATATTTTTGCAGTCTTTTGAAAATTTGCCATATTTTAATGTTACGTGAAATACATCCAACATTATTAGACACATTGAGAACGTTAGTTGATATTCATCACACGCAATATCAACAACTATTTGATGATACATTAAAACCTAAACATCACAATATCGTCCACTACGCATCTTTTGTACTACATTCGGGTACACCTCGTCATCAATGGGCAATGAGAGGAGAAGGTAAACACCGAGATGCCAAACAGTACAGCAGGGTAAATAACAACAAAACGAATCTATGTAAATCTTTGAGAATAAAGGCGGGGTATAAATTTGCACTCAACGTTTACAACAACGCTTTTATTACCCCACGAATAGATTTCAGCAAATCTAAAATCTTGCCGCCACCTCCTTCCAATAATGATTTTCAATTATTTGTGACAGAAAAAATACGTTTACTTGATATTTCAGTACAATTTTTAGACAGTTTCATGAAACAGGGATCGAAATTCAGCAAAGGTACTATTTTATATGTAAAACATTGTAATATTATCAATATGTTTGAGCTGGACTGTATAATGATAGACAAAAACAATAATCTAATATTAGTTTGCCGTAGCATGCAATGTCGTTATTTTGACGAACATTTGCAATCTTTTGAGGTTTATAAATCACAGGATCCTACATTGGTTTCAAACATTGCCCGTTTCGAAACGGAAGCTATTAATTTACATACCGTTAATGAAAGGTCATACTTCCGGTTTTGTAATTTTTGTATAATGGATAAACCTATTGAATTACTATTTGTACACTCGTTTGTTAATAAATAAAAAAATAAATCAAAAACAATTTTTCAATTTATTTAAAATTATTTCTTGAAAAGAAAAACTGCTAAAATTAAAAATTAAAATATTTAAGCCAAAAAAAACAAATTGTTATTCGCAGCAATTTTTTTTTTTAATCAAAGAAAGTTATTGTTGGTAGCAACTTAAATTTTTTTTTTGATTAAAAAAAGATTTTGTCTGTTTGAAAATAAATATTGTAAATTCAACAAAATATATTTTTGATTGCGTTTTTGACAGCTTTTGAAAACAACAATATTTTATGTCCGAACAATAAAGATTTATTGTTGAATTCAATAAAAAAAGTTATTAGCCGGGGAATGATAATTTTTGTTGTTGTTTTTAATACATAATATAATTGAAATTAAAAAACTTTTTTCTGCGTGTTCCATTCTCTGAACTATACTCTTCAAGAAACTGAGCCGATTTTCTTTCTAGGTGACGATTTGCGACCTCTAGGCTGCTCGCAGTTTTGGGAAGTACCCGCCGGGCAGCCGCCATATTGGACGCCATTTTGGATTTTTGGACTTGAAAAAATTCCCAGCTGTAGAGCAAGAATGAATAAAGATTTGACAAAAAACTCAGGTCTCTAACTCTTACCAGTTTCCTGGAAAAAAAAATCCAAAGTTTAGGTCAATTGAACCGGAAATCCCCCTTAACTAACAAATTGACAGTAAGATCCTATACAAACTCCCATCGAGGGGCGTTAAAATAGCGATTTTTTGCTAATGTAATCGCACTTGTTTAAGGTGATTCGCTGTGACATCCTTATTCTCGTAGCCACTTCGAAATTTTAAGTGCACAAATATCAGCTTCTACGACACTAGCAACATTTAAATTGTTACTCCACGTTTCAAATGAAATGGGGCACTGATTTCCGAGATTTGTGTAATTGAAAATCCGAAGTAGAAGCACCGACAAACCGACATGAATGACTATACAAAGTACCATCAAATTTCTGATCAAAGCACAAAACTGACATCTACGCGAAAATGTGTATCCTAGCCACGAACACGCATGCAAAATGTATGAGTTGGTTCGTGTCTAATTATTTTTATCTAGATAAAAAAACTTCTATGGTTTTGACAGATGGGTTCGCTGCACATTTGAATCCGCTGTTATGGATTCTCGATCAAGAGTTAGGTTTAAGTTTCATGTCGGTTTGTCGGTGGTAGAAGTGCATATATAGCCTACGTAGCGGCCATTTGTGAACTCTACAAGGAATCACCTTAAAGTAGTTCCAGTGTACCGAAATTTGTGAAATTTTGGATTTCGGTTCCATTTTGAATGCAGATTACGAATATGCATTTACCTCAATACCCCCAAAGAACTCCAAGGCAATTCAAACAAAAAAATAAATTGAATTCTGAGGATAGTTTCTAAAAAGTTCTGGGAGAAAACTTCTCTGGGAGTTTTCAGGATTACAATTTTATCTCCAAATAATTAAAGCAGAAATGCAAAATAATTCGGAGAACCATTCCAAGTTTTGACTTGAATGCTAAACTCATCTTGAGGAAAAGATTAGGCTGTGCGTGTGATCGAACGTTACGTTTTTTTTTTTCTTTCTATAATCGCTTGATGATCTGGTCAAACCATAAGCGGAAGAAGAGACAATAGGGGACTTTTATGAACCAAATTTCTGTCAAACGCGAACCAGTGCCTGATTGGTCGGGCGAACGTACACTAATATAATTTCAAAGATTGCTTTTATGTGTCGTCCCACACATGAATTTCTGCAATGTGATCAACAAATGTTATATACGTGTCGGACACAATATGTGTACACTTAAAAACCACACATACTATTCATTTGACTCATAAATTTCATTTGTGCTTCTGGGTGGATTCTGTTTATGTGTGGTCACATGAAAATCATGTGGAATTTCACATGGAAATTCGTTAATAAAAATGTTTGGAGAAGTTTTACACAGGGAATCTATTTTCTTGTATTTTGACAGTCGATTGCGTCGCCCATAATGAAACTAACTATTTAGGCTCTGAACCATTTGGTGGATTATTTTAACTTTTGGTTAAAATTTGACAGATGAAAAGTTATCGATTAACCCTGCTATCCGAGCGTGGTTACTTCTGACAGACAAGAAGTTAAATTTTGACGACCGTGGCTCGAAAACCGGTCGATCGACAGCACGGGGATTTTCGAACATAAGAAATAACTTTCGAAATGTCACTTTTAACCACGAGTTAAATTTAACTCGGCAAATGGTTCACAGCCTTAATAGTTTTTGCACAGTCGTTTCCGCAAGAGAAGAAGAACACATCACATACCATCATAAGCCAGTTATCTTATCTCCTCTTCTTCTTAGGACAAAACCAGACCCATCAAGATACGATTTCTAGTTCCTCATCGAATTCACTAAGCCAGAAGAAGTCCTGCGAGAGCTGCATCTCATTATATCTAGTTCTAGGTCCCTGTTATTTGCTGCTGACAAACTATTGCGAGGCCAAGTAGAACCTCCATGGGGCCCTCGGCGTCCCATCATTTGCAGCGCTGAACCTGACTATTGACCACCAAAAGGCTTGCCAATGCACATCATAAATCGATTATATCCGAACATGTTTTACAAACAGGCTATTATGAGCCAAGGAATAAGTGCGCCGAAGACAGCAAACGATTCAACGTAAAAGCGTACTTTTATTAGAGTTCCCGTACTTTTCGTCGCACTATAATGTGTGCAATGTGCTGTATTAACTGTTAAATAAAATTGCCACAAAAAAAGACAACATCGTGAATATTTTGATTGTAAAACATCGTGCAATGTGATTGTAGAACAACATTGATAGTCATATGAAAATCCCATATCCCTCCTAACATTAACTGAATGTAACAGAAATTGTGTTTTACATGAAGATATAAAACTGATTTCAAAGCTGCTATACAAGATTATTATGTAGGGCGGTGATGCACACTGCTTGCAGCACCAACTTAATTACACTGTGTCTATACTATTATGGAGAACTGCAACACTGCGCGTGGTGATTCATCAAGTTCAAGGCTCAACATGTTTATTGCGCTCGACAAGCGATGCGCAGTGCAAACTACAAAACTTATTTTTTTTTCTCCATAGAACAAATCAAAACTCCACTTACCCGAAGCAGTTCCGGGATACGGTGGCCCGGAGGATCCGGTCGTGTCCATTTCCGTCGTAATCGAATGGATCACACAACTGCCACTGATCGAAACGTATCTGGCCGAATGCACCGACTGACGATGATTGAACACACAGAAGTGAGTGCCGTTGATTGCGATCTTGTACTGATTCACCTCGACCAGCACCAATACGTCGAACGACTGGCCATAGTTGATCGGACAACCTCCGTAGCGTTCCTCAGCGCCCCACACCTGGTTTTGCAGCGTGTTGCGCACGATCACTGCCTCATTGGGGCGAATACTAATGTGCAGCGTGACGTCATCACGTGGATTCAACGCGGCTCCCGTTTGTATATTGATCTGACACCTGTATTGTAAAGACGGTCGAACCAAACGAACGAAACAGTTGTCAATATGTGAGTGCAATGAAGATATCAACACATTGATACGTTATCACACTAGCCTAAGATAAGCGAGGCACTTATGATAAAAACGCAAAAAATCAGTAAGAAAAGTCCCATTTTGCGAAAATTTTACATGAATCATCGCGCAACTCTCAATTATTAAGTTTTTTACGTTCTAATTCAACAATTCTGAAATCTGAAGTTTATAATAACCCTATCTCACCGTTCTCCGTGATTGTTGATGATGCCTTTGATGCGCACCATAGAACCATGACGAATGCCACCCGGAATGAGACCCAAAAAGGGAACCATCTGGAAAACAAAACGACAATTACTTTGAGTATGATCAAAAGATATCCTCGATCAATCGTTGCACTTACGGGTGAATATACTGGGATCGTCGCCATTACTAGTGCTGATAGTTGATCTACTATTGAGCAAGTCCAACGATTTCGAGGGGCCAGGGTGATTAAAATTCCGAATTAATGCTTCACTGATAGAATATGCTTGCACAAAGTATGAATGTATACTGTCGAAAGAGAGACAGTAACTGCCACTAAGAACCTGTCGATAAGCGATATGTTATGTGTACACACACACTGTTTATGTCTCTGTCTATACGAATTCCATTGATAAGGATGAATGTGAAGTTCATGAGAACTAATAGGGTGGCTATATGTAGTTGAGCTACATGCAGAATAGTGATATTAGTTTCGTGTTAATAACTCAACGTGAGTAGACTGTTGAGTACACAGCAAAAAAGCATATTAATTACCGTGAAGTGCCATATTTTGCGCGGCGCCTAACTCCGCTCATGTTTGCCAATATTTTAAAGTTATATTTTCCCATACACTAGTCAATATTTCATTCATTTTACATATTCAGCTTAATACGCCATAGTAGTAAAATTTACGTTTATTTTCTGGGTTTTTACGTTTCAACATTTGATTTAACATTTCAATTGGTTAGCCTTTGGCTCTTCATCTTTGTTCTAGTTAATTGGTTATTCTAATGTGATGATTGCGTTTAGCGCTAATTTACAGGATACCCTTTGTGGGATTGTTTTGGATTGAATTTAAAAAATTGATATCCTACCTACTTGAGCACCTAACTACTTAAGCTAGGTTGCCAAATCACGAATGATCTGGTGGTTTGATCGCAGACAGGTGACTCTGAACCTTTCCAGCGTGGAAGTCTTTTGCTCCTCGAGTGTTTGAAGACCGGCCAGGTGGTGAATCTCAGAATTACGAGTTCGCGGTGGACTGTTAAGGATCATTCTGAGGATCTTGTTTTGGATCCTCTGAAGCTTTAAGAGGTGGCACTGAGCACAACTCTCCCAGATTGGCATACCATACTCAATAGCCGGGCAGAATTATCTGCTTGTGGACAGCAAGCTTGTTTTTGAGGGACAGTGGACTTCATGTTTATCAGAGGGTAGAGCGACCTGATCAAGATGTTACACTTGGTGGATGTCTTGTCCACATGGGATCAGAATAGCAATTTTCTATCGAGGGTGAGACCAAGGTAGACTACTTCACTCGACCATTCAATGGGAGTGCTATCAAGATGGATCTTGACGTTAGCAGGCGGAACAAGCCGTGGTGAATTCGAGTGTGGAAACAGAATGGTTTGTGTTTTAGCTGCATTGATACAAATCTTCCAGCTCTTAAAATAGTCGGACAAAACATCCAGGCCTGATTGTAGTTTACTCGCCAGATCACTCGACCCTTATAGATGATGGAGGTGTCATCTGCGAACATAGACAGGATACCACCACCCGGCAGGGGAGGAACGTCTGACGTGAAAATGTTGAATAGGATAGGCCCAAGCAGGCTACCCTGAGGGACCCCTGCATCAACGTTGAACGTATCAGAGGGGACATTGTTCAAGTAGACCTGGAATGATCTGCCCGACAAGTAGTTTTTGATGATCTTCACGAGGTAGATCGGAAAGTTGTATTGATGCAGCTTGTACACTAGACCATCATGCCAGACATTGTCGAACGCCTTCTCGACGTCCAACAATGCCATGGCAGATGTATTGGAAACGGACTTGTTCCGCTTGATGATGTTAGTAACCCGCGCGAGTTGGTGGATGGCCTTTCCTAAACCCAAATTGCTCTTTGAGAAAGATGTTATTATCATTTGAAAACACCAGCAGACGGCTGAGTATCAATTTTTCGAATAGCTTCGAAATGGAGGACAAGAGGCTGATGGGGCGATAGCTTTTGGCACTGGTAGGATCTTTGCCAGGCTTGTGTATTGGAATCACTTTGGCTAACTTCCAGCATGCAGGGAAGTAGCCAAGCTCCAAACATTTGTTGAGGATAACGGTAAGATGGTTAAAGAAGTCAATACTCAAGTTTTTCAACTCGAGGTTGACTACACCATCCATACCCGCAGCCTTCATGTTTTTAGTACTTCTAATAGCTGCTATCACCTCATCAGCCGATATTCTACTATGATCATGCACTACTACGGGGATGTCAGCGACTCTAGTCATTGCCTCCAGTACGGCAGGCCCATATGGGCTCACCATGGTTTGACCAAGATTATGTGAAATCACAAAATGTTGGCCAAGAGCATTGGCCTTTTCAGCTAGGGTTATCAGTAGGGATGGATCTAAGTGGTCAACAGAGGAAAGCGGAGGGATCGGTCTCGACTTATTTTTCAAAATTTTGGTCATCTTCCAAAATGGTTTTGCACAATCTGGGAGAGAGCGAATCTTTTTGGTAAAATCGTTATTTCTGAGTTCCACCATCCTGACCTGGATAATTTTGGTTAGCCTATTGACATTGGTCTTCAAGTGAGGCAGCCAAGAACGCTGGAACTGCCTACGAATGGTGTTACGGAGCCTGATAAGATCTTTGGTTGGGCTGTCAAGGTTCAGAGTATGACTCACCTGTCTGGATGCTGGTACGTGTTGCTCCCTGGCACGGGATATCGCCTCTTTGATGGCTTGCAGATACTGATCGACTTCTTCGAACGACTCCGGTAGTACGTCGTAATTGATTGCTGTGTCCACACAGCGCTGATACTGCTGCCAGTTGACACGATGATAATTTCGCCGGGAAACTTGAAACCTATTGGCCGAGGAACCTACTGCGGCCACCACCGGATAGTGGTCCGAGCTCAGTTCCTGATAGGCGATACAGTTGGGAGATGTTATCGCCAATGTTGCTGATGAAGATGTCGATGGTGGCATGAGCTCCGGATCGACTCAACCGGGTGGGAGAGTCCGGACACAGAATGTTGTAGTGGGCTTGCTGCAGATCGTTGTATAATATTGTGCCGTTCTGATTTCGCCGACTATTGCCCGAAGCTTGATGTTGGGCGTTCAGGTCGCCAGCGATGACGAAATTTTGCCGCCGTCGTGTAAGCTTGATGATGTCTCTTCGCAGGTCTGCGGCCGTGCCGTCCCTAATGTTGGTTTGCTTGGGGCAGTAGACCTCGATGATGGTGATTGGACCAAGCGATGTGCTCACCTCAATTCCGATGGCTTCGATAATTTTCAGCTGGAAGCTTGGTAGTAGCCGGCAGCTGATGTTTCGCCTCGCAGCGATGGCCACTCCCCCTCCCCCGGAGCTGGTGCGGTCAAGCCTTACGAGCCGAAAGTCGGGAAGGAAGACGTTCAGCTCAGGCCTCAAGTGTGTCTCGGTGATGACGGCTATGTCGATTTGCCGTTCGTTGAGGAAGTCAACAAACTCGATGTTTTTGCTCTTCAAGGAGCAAGCATTCCAATTTACGATCTTGATGGCTTCACGGTCCATACTTAGTGACAAGGGACAGGGCAGCATGTAGCTGTTCAGATCGAGTCTTGCAGATGCGCATGATGATAATGACCTCGGCCACGAGCGTCACAAGTTCCTCCGAGGTGAACGGAGAATCGTCGACAGGTTCAACTGAGACAGCAGCAGCGTATGATAAACCAGGGGCGGTGGATGAACCTGGAATTGGCTGGGCCACAGCAGCAGCGAGACGATGCTGAACTGTTCGACTGTTGGGAACCATTTGGATATTCGCAGGGTTGGCTTGTTGGTTGTTGAGCGGAAGCGGGGCTAGGTTCGGAACATGTCGACGGGGCTGGAGAGCTGGGTACTGGACTTCCGTGAGTACAGGAGGCGAACGATGATTACGGAGGCGACCGACCTGGTTGTTGATTGTAGCCTTCCGACGGATATTAATGAACTCCACTCGCTTGAGACATCCACGATTGGAGGCTTGATGGTTTCCACCGCAGTTGACACACGTTGGCTCAATGTCATCAACTTGCTCACAGGACGCAGTTGAGTGAGTTCCAGCACACTTGCCGCAGTTTGTCTTCATATGGCAGTTTTTGGTGCCATGGCCATGGAGAGGCAGTTCGTACACTGCGTAACATCACGATGTTGGGGATTGTAATGCTCCCAACTGATGATAACCTGAAACAGGTCCCGGATTTTGGATCTCAGAGCCGCAAGACTGGTGCATCCCTTCGTGAAGTGCACCAGAAACAACTGGTCACCGAAGCTGGTATTGTTGATGGAACGGCGGTTCATCTGGAACACGGCCTCAGGTTGGAGCCCAAGCCGCTCCAGCTCGGACTTCACCGCAGCCGCCTCGAACGACGGTAATCCACGCAAAACCGCCTTCAGTGGCTTGCTCGATGGCAGATCATGCGTGAAGAAGTCCACGTTGTTTTCTTTCAGGAAACATCCTATTTGTTTGTACTCCTCCAGGCTGGAGCACATGATTTTGGTACCGATGCTGCAAAGCTTAAAGCGAGGCCGCAGCTTGTGTTTTGCCAGTTCGGCACCTAGCTTGGCAACATCCTTCACCGGCGTGAAAAGCGGGGGAGTTCGCTCTTTTCTTGCAATGGGAGCGGCGTCACCATCGCCATTTTCTTCCGGGAGTACTGCATACTGGTTGGCTTGCAGTACTCGTTTTCCGACGTCATCCTGCGGCGTGCTGGGCTTGATTAGCACCTTCTTTGAAGGGCCCGCTGCTGGCTCATTGGCACGTTTACGCACCATTTGTTTCGTGTTTGCAAGTTCAAGTAAACTTGCCAGAACGCGAGAAGGTGGCGACACTTCCACGGCGCAACGCGACAGCACAAAATGAAACAAAATCGAAACGAGATCTCGAGCGAAAAATACGGACTGAACAGCTCAACAGTCGAGCAAAGAATGAGCTTAATACGCTACGGTAGATAGAAACATATGCACAGCGGGCCATTCCATCGTACACTACATATTACGTTTAAAGACATACCTACACATAATTTTCGAACGAACTTATTTGCTGACCGCGAGATTGCGTGTTATATTTTGGAAGGATTTGAGTCTTAAGGCCCAAGCTCTAACTAAATATGTAATTATAAACAACTTACCTTAATCTACTCAAAATAAAACCATTATATTCCCACACACTTAGTTTTTTCTACCGAGCTCGGCTGAGCAAATCTCGGCAAAAAAAGTTTAACTGAGATCTCAGCAAAAGTGACATTTGATTGCTGAGTCTTGGACAATCCTTAGCTGAATCTCAGTAAACAAATGAAATGTTTGCAGAGATTCCAGTAAAAAAATT